CACACAGACTGTGAGTAACGAAGAAGTGATGATCGAGGAGGTAATCGTCGACCTCCCCTAGGGCCGCAGCGATCATGTAGCCTTAATCTTCGAATGCATTTGTAATGCGGAGTAGTCCGTGGAAACTGCCGACTCATGGAGAAAGATTGTACGCGAGGGTATATAAGCTCGACTATGTGAGACAATAAAGTGGACCTTTCTGGAAGACCAGGCGTCGGCTTACATATGGCAACAGTTCGTCAGACAGTGTAACACTAGTTGCCGAGGCATCAGAAACTAAGGTTGTCTACCCTAGAATCTTAATATCGTTTATGTGAAGCAGAATAAGCAAGTGTATTACTGTACAAAACTCCTCCTTGCATATCTATAAGCGGTCTCCGAGCAACGAGAACTGGACTGCCAATGCGACCCAACGAAACCACTTTACTCAACTTACTCGCGAGGATAAAATGGTATACAAGCAGGAGTTGGCAATGCGTATGACCTCAATCCACAAGCTTCGCTTTTCACCACGTAACCAGTCTAGGTAATGTGCAACGGGGAATTCCTTCTCTTCAAACGGCGGACGGATCTACGCGGACACCGAAGGAGGCGGCGGATACCCTGCGCATACATATGCTCCAACCTTTCAGTGTGTTCAGTGGCTATCGAAGCCCAGGAAAAGAGGTATCTTACCCCCAAACCTCACTCATATATCCTTCAGGAAAGATACTGTAGTAAAGAAGCTGTTGAGTCTGTATAAACACAGCTCTTCTGGAGTCCACAACATACCCCCAAAGTCCGTTGCAGCCGTGGGAGAGTTAAGCCAAGCCTTTGGGTCCATTCCCCCCCCACTGTTTAAACCAAACGTACGTACGGACACGGGGAAACACAGGATGATTACTCCTATTTACAAAGGATTTCTTCATTCGGATCCAGCCAACTATCCTCCCGTAATCCTATTACCGCTACTTTCATAGGTCATGTAGGCTATTAATACTGATGCGCTAACGGCCTAGTTTTGACATTTTAACTCTTTCGGTATGTAGTGAAAGGCGACCAGTAACTCAGTAAACTAAACAAATATATGGACACTGTGTAGAAGTAACAGCGGCTTCAGAAGTTAAGCCATTCATCCCAGACAGCTTAGACTATCAGAAGCAAGAACATGCGTCCGTTCAATGCCAATTCAGTGGACGTATTGGGTCATGATGAGTCAGCGACGATGATAATTGTAGTTATGATTTAGAGGGTGATTTGTTACTACTACAAGTTACAATTACTGAGAGCGTACGCTAGGATAACAAAGATGCACCTTGCCCCCAGGCGCTACTTGGCGACATCCATGGGAATTCGCAGCAGAGTAGTACTTTAACACTTGCTGTCCGAGGTCACTTTCAAAAAACAGGCTTCATCGAGTCCACTGTGAACGAGTCGGATTGCCTAAAATCGGAAATGTATGGATTCCGCATCACTATGGAGAGGCAAATCATATAAACCGCACCACTGTACACGTGTCTAGGAAGCGCAGATGAATGAAGGCGTGGCTGTCTGTGCATGTGTACTGCTGTAACATTACCCGGTGGCTCGGAGGTAGCATACAGTCAAAGCTAGTGTAGCCCGTTGGTTAATCTGACCAATTGTACTGACATCGTAAAGCCATATGTAGATTGGTGCTCTAGGCTTGAAGATGAACACAGCCTCATTATTAGTACATCCGATGGGGGAAGTAATGTTCTTTTGCTAGTAAATACCTTACGAGTATTCGAAAAAGAACCGAATGCATTAAATGGCCGCTGGCGGAGTTGACTTTTGCACGACCAGTAATTGTCGGTTTTACCAATCCAACCCAGGTTTTTTTATTTGGGTTGACCAACTTATATTCTTTGACTCAGCAGTAATACCCAAAATAACATGAAGCAACTGGCAGTTCAATTGTGAGTGTTTGTCCGGACTCTCTGAGTAAGTACGCTGACCTATAAATCCATGCAGCGTATGTCCATCTGGGAAGTGGGATTGCTCAGTTCCACTGGGGAGTACCTATTACCGACGGCACACAGCCTTAACACCAGAACCCATTATATGTTCGTCGACAGAATTAGTTTGTGTATTTGTTCCAATAATTGTTTCTTTTAATCACAGTGTTTTAATTCTAGTGCCTTTCTAAGATCTTGTGTGTTGTAACTGGATATTCACCCGCCAAAGGTGCATAAAGCGGTAATTGACTAAACCTGACTTAATTTGATCAGCCGCAGGAAGGTTTTGATGAGTTTGCGCCATAACGGCTAAAGGTGGTAACTAACCACGAAGCAACAATTGTACCATTCCAAGCTCAGAGACAAGAAATGTTGTTCGGGCTGTTTGCCAGTCAAGTTGGACCTGTAGGCTGTAAGTGTTACATTACCTGGTCTACTTTTGAAGAGAGTGGACCATTAACGATTAAACCGAGTATGTAAAACCTTGACCAAGGACCTGTCAAAATGAGTGGCTCTGCATGAATTAGGCAAGTGAGTAGCCCATTTGATGATCGATGTACACAAACAGTCGTATCACGTGCAGACCATGTCTTCCCACAAGAAAATATATTGACCCTCAGCATCTGCAAGTATGAGTCAAAAACATGTATTCGAGGCGGCATTGAAAGCAGCTACATAGGCAGAATGTGTTATGTGGGTACGGCGTAGTGTAGCCTGAATAAAGGAATATCAAATAAAAGAACATTTTCAGGCTAACGCTACTTGGGATTGTTTCGTACGCATCTCTCCATTCAGGTGAGAAAGATCACATGGTCCATACTGGATGTTTAGCCATACTGCAAAACTGTTTCCAAGTGAGGCTTGCCAAATGTGGGCGGACCATACTCCGATCATACCATAGACACTAAAAACCTCTGCTAACTTTAGCATATTGCATGGGTAATTCTGCATGCGGTCGAGCACACATATGGTTGGTGCGGTCTTCGCAACCCGTAGACCAATGAGTATGCTGACCAATGACGTGCGTTGGTAGGGACTTGGGCCAGCTAGCCAGGTGTCATCCAACCGTACATTATGTGCGCCGCTAAGTTGATCACCTTCTAGGGAATGGCAAAACAAATCAGATTTTCTTCATGTACATCACCGGATTAACGGGGCCAACATGTTGGACACTGATCAGTGGAGGAAACGGGGTTCGCTACCTGACTGGATTACGGTGAAGACCGAGTGCCTCTTGGTGTCTGTGGCCATCTAAATCACCTTGTCTGCCATCTGGAGGAAGACATGAGTAAGGTGAGTTGACGCGATGGCAACTAGTGTATTTCAGAATATGCGATTTTTCATGTTTGACAGAAATGATTCATGGTCTAACAAACATTAGAGTGGTAGGGTAAGATGCAAGAACTCACAACACTTACGTCACTGAACATCTTAAGCGCGCTAACGTTCGCTTTAGCTTTTCAGGGGACTCCTAAGTCTACTCTGTGCGCTCGCGTTTACAACCTAATTGGGGCAATCAAAATGGTCGAGTGAAGTTGCTCCATCGTTGTTTTCACGCACCATGTACCTTTACCCCTCGGAGTTTAAACCATTCCAGCACTTCTGAGGTAACGCACGCCTCAGACTAGCTATTGGGCAAAATACACGAAGAGTAGTTAACTGCGACAGTAAGCTACGTTGGTTTAACACAAATATTTGGTGTTGCATACGGAATTCGACTTCAACATTGTCCTTGTAAACTCTATTAATCGCAATTGGACAAAATCAGGCAGCAGTCAGCACCCAAGAGTGTCAGAACACACTTGTACTTGTCGTCTTTTGCTTTGAGTACGTGAGTTATCTTGGGTCATGAAATCGTTCACTAAAAGCGTGCTTGGAAACGTTAAGGGTAGGTCCGCTCACATAGCCCCTACAACGTCATTCCCTTTAACAGTAGGTAAATGCGTAAAGTTATATGCTTTTACGTAAGCGATAGAATACTGATATTTCTTGGGCAGAGTTTGGAATATACTATAAACACGTAACTTCGAACTGCCTGCTTTTTTCGTTGGCCAGTCCGTTGCAAGATAGGGGGAAAATTAGAAAAGTGCTTCAGGGATATTTCTCTTCGATGCTGCTTGATGATATCTGCAAAGCGTCTAGTATTTCAATTTTTACTTCATTCCATTGACTCAGTAATCTAGTGAACACCGGATATTTCTATATATTAGATGAGCCGATCGTGTGACTGCAGCAAAATATCACTCAAAACTGAAAGAATGTAGTCCCAATGAATAACGATGCAAGTTAATCAGAGTATTCTGTGCAGACCATCGTAAGTTATTCAACGACTTTAGAAACACTTAATGCACAGTGATAAGAATTTTTGACAAAAGCCTAAGTGAAACTGCGATCTCGTAAATAGAAGTGAAATATGAAGCACTACAGTTGATGTGTTATCGTGAGGGGTGGATGGCACTAATGATTCACCGTGATGCTTCACTCACCACCAGAGTGGACATCCAAGATTTAACTGTTTCGCAATTTTAAACCACATATAGCCGTCATGTCATGTCACGTCAGGTTCCAAGGACGATACAGGCTTCCGCCTAATGACCGTCCAGCTTCTTGCACCGGTAAGCGATCAAGAGTCCCCGGCACTTTCACGTGCAATTAACTTCCACGGCCTACACAAAAGATTGAATAAAAAACTAAAGCGATCTCTGTACTGTCATGCAGTAGGAGCGAACAAACAAAGTTCCAAAGATGCTGGAATAGGTTCAAGCCAACACCTATCTAGGTCACTTTTAAAGGCTTCTACTTTGCTGCATTCTATTATTGCTGGAGTTGAATTATTCCAGCTATTGACTACACAATTCACAAAGAGTTTCGCCCAGATATCAAATCTAGATCTCTGATGCATGTGCTTCAGCTGACGTTTTCGCAAATGATCTGACCCGGCCAGTTCAAACAATTCAGTATGATGGATAACAAGAAAACCCTTCGTGATCTTAAACGTCTGTAGTGGGTCCCTCCTCAGTCTGCCCTTTCCATTGAATAAACCTCTAAGCTCCTTAGGCGCTCAGCGCATGCTTTTTCACATTAAACCTTAATAATCTTAGTCGCCAGTTTTCATAGTCTTTCTATACAGACGACGTCTTTCGGGAAGTGTGGAGCCCAGGCCTGTACACAATATTCTAGATCTAGTCTTAGCAACGCTTTGGATAAGGGAAGAAAAACCTCACCTCTATTGCTGTATAAACATCTTTTGAGTCGAAATAGCTGATTTCGCGCTTTATTCGCAGCATGCACACATTGCACTGAAGCTTTGAAGTTGTTCGCCATAATGATGCCTAAGTCTCTTGCTTAATTAGCACATTGCAGGTCTAGTGATCCAACAGACGTTACCACCATAATCCCCTCACTTCGAGAAGTCAGCAACTGGCATTTGCTGGTGCTTAAAGGCAGATCCCATTGGTGTGCCAATTTTTCCCATCTATATATTTGTGTATGTGTTACTGGTTGTGTTTTGTAAGCGACTGAAGAGAACAATCGAACTGTTGACATATCGCCATCTATGTCTTCTTTCTGCTTTGATCAAGTGGCTGAAGGGGACTCAATGTTTTACGTTTCGGAAAAGAGGTCTCCCCGTTACCGCTGCTAGGGCATGCGACCGATTGTTGTCGTTGCATTTTAAGCTGGCTGTAGAACGCACGAGGATAAGCTTTACTGAAGGATGTATGCGATCAGGCTGCTTTCCGTCACGGTTTGCTAAGGCATTGTCAACGAATAAGTTGCCTGTAAATAACACTAATTTGACCAGGATGGCGTCGGCACAACTAGAAGCCTGTGTGGAACGTGAAAGGAATTTCCTCGAAACACAGAGACGATTCGCTGGCACCCTCAATGATTTATCTTTGATTTGGCGCTTTCAATTTGAGGCCTTTTCTGCAGAAGTTCTCGGTCGTACGCGAATGAAAACAGTTCGTAGCCTACAGCTTTCGCTTACGAGGGCTACTACTGATTGCTCGCAGCACGTATATAATCTTTCATCTGCTCAGTTCACTCGCAAGCAGTTGGAAGTGCTTGCTCTTGTAATGAAATATCGCTTGCCACCCAAGATGATAGGCAGGCTCAGCAAGCAGGCCCAGTTTGAAGATCTTTATGACCAGCTCAGTGATCTGTCGCTAAGATCCATGGAAGATGCGGGCTGGTTTCGGTTAAAATTGGTGGACTTCGCGAACCAGTTCCTTAATACGCCAATAAGCCAGACATGTTGCCTGAAGGCTGAACGCTATGTCGCCATCAGAGAGTTAAAAGAAATGGCAAACGTAATCTTCCTGCAGCCAGACAAAGGGTCAAGTATTGTAATAATGAACAAGGATGACTACGTTTCAAAAATGGAGTCTATTTTGGGAGATAGACACAAGTTTCTGATAGACGCGACACTGGATACTAGCGTCTTGGTGGAGAAGCAGGTGGCCAGAAACTCCAGATCCTTTTGCCACACGGATACATCACTGAGTCGCAGTGCAGGCAGCTCACAGTGACTGGTACGCAGACACCGATAATGAGGGTCCAGCCTAAGTTACACAAACCAGGTAACCCACTGCGTCCGATTATACGCAGGAACATCTGGCCTTATCACAACTTTTCCCGGTGGCTGGCGAAACTCTTAGATCCCGCGCATAAACTCTTGACTACGCACTGCCTGAAAGTTTCATTGGAACTAGCGGAGACGCTAAAACAATTCTCACTGGGTTCGGACGTAATGTACTCCATTGACGTGGACTCTCTACTCACAAACGTGCTACTTCAGGAAACAGTTGATGATTTGTGTCATTTCATCCTGAGTCAAAACGTGCATGTGGGTATCCCTGTGGAATATTTGCGAGATATGATTCTACTGTGTACAGAAAATGCACATTTTGAGTTTGTGGGGACGGCGTACAAGCAGATCGACGGAGTCGCCAGGGGCAGCCCTCTGGGACCGGCCTTGGCAGACATCTTTTTCTGCTTGATCGAAAGGCAAGTCGCTGCCAGCATTGTTGAAGCAAGGTTATACAAAAAGTATGTGGATGACATTCTGGTGTTCACCAACAGCGAACATTTTACTCGCCTGTTAACCACTCTAAATTTCATTCACCCACAACTTATCGGTCTCCTACGAGATGGAACAACACGGCTCCCCGGCATTTTTGGATATCCTCATTAAGAGACGGGACGAGGTACATTGCAGTGCACCGTTTACCGCAACGCAACCTGGATTGACCAGTACCTTCACTTTGCAGTTTTGCTCTGGTAGCATACAAACGCGGCTTAGTGATAACGCTGTTCTACAGGGCCAGAAGAATTTGTAATCCGGATGCGTTGGAAGCCGAAGAGAACTTTCTGCATAGGACCTTGGTGTCAAACGGTTATCCTGAAAAGTTCATCCAGGTGCACAGCAGACTTCCCAAAAAGAACCTGCCGACGCTAATGGTAGAGGAGAAAGCATTTTATCTGTTTCTGCTCTTCAAGAGTGACCATGTGGCAAATGACTTCGGACATAAGCTCAGGTCCGCCCTAACATGCACGTACACGACTACCCAGTTGCGCCTCATGCATACTAATCGGAAACTTGTTCTTCATAACCATCAGCGCTACTCTTCGGCTAATTTGCCCTCTCACGTTGTTTAACAGTTCATTTGCAGTCTCAGTGAAGTTTACATAGGCAGGACAAACCGTCGGTTGGCTCAGAGGGTGGCTGAACACTTGACGAATTGGGTGGAACAAATGCTGACGCAACAAACTGGAGAGCCCCCAGAATGAACCGGATTCCGTCCTCATCTATCACCAAGCACCTTGTGACAACTGGTCACAATGTGGACCCGAAGACTGCTTTCAAAGTGTTGTTATATAAGCGGAATCCGATAAGGTTGGCAATCAGTGAGGCGTTGCTAATTAGCGCCTATCAACCTGTGCCATGTGTACAGAAACTATTGAGGCAATCAATCAGATTGCCTTGGTCTTGATTTTGACGTTTTGATTGGTGTGCCAATCTTTTTTCCATGTATATATTTGTGTAAGCGTTTCTGCTTGTGTTTTGTATGCGAATGAGGGGAACAATCGAAATGCTGACATATTGCAATCTATGTCTTCTTTCCGCTTTGATCAAGTGGTTGAAGGGGACCCAATGTTTTACGTTATGGTCCCATTTAACCGACCAATTTACTACAGTGCGAAGGTCCATAGACTGCATGTCTTAATTACCCCTACTGACCTTCTATAGATCATCAGCAAAAATATAACAGGGGTAATGAAGAAAAGCAACCAAATCTCTGATAAATATGATAAACATTAATAGTCCTAAAACAGACCCTTGGGGAACACCGCTGTGAACATTGCGGACGATTGATCTAGCTTCTCCGACCCTAACGCACAAGGTTCTACCACAAAGGAACTACAATCCAAGTAAATAGTTGAGAACGTAGCCGGAACCATTCCAGTTTCGCAAGTAAGAATCGGTTGTCAGCCGAGTCGAAGGCCTTGCTAAGGTCGAGACAACAGACTTCGACTGAGACTCTATCACCAAGTCAACTAGGTATTTCTTCTAAGAAACGCAAAAGATTAGGATAGCATGATTTCTCCTTGACAAGACCATGCTGCTCGGTACCAATTAAGTTGTGCTTAATTAAGTACTCATAAATTCGTGTTCGAATAAGCTATTCCAAAACGTTGAGTAAAACGCTGGTTAGACTTACAGGCCTCTAGTTGACGAGTACAGTTTTCGCAACTTCTTTATCTATGGTTAAAATGGTTCCTCCTTCCAGTCCTGTGGTAGCCTAACTTCACGTGGTGTTATGTTAAACATCTCCAGGACAGGGTATTGGATTATGTCAGCCAGTTGTCTGACAATAGCAGGCTGCACCTCGTCATGTCCAGCTGACTTATTTGGGTCTAAACTAACCAGTACCCCGAAGGCATCCGCTGCAGTAAGCGGAGTATCACGCGTTATACTATTATTTTGACAGAACGAAAGGTACAGGCAACCCATCATCCGTACTATGCACGTTTTGAAAACGCGCAGAAGCGCCTCTGCTTTGGTTACATCTGTGACCCGACTACTCTCATCGGCCAATAAATTACCCACTGCTTGCCTTAAATAAGGCCTTACAGAGGAGCAGTAGACGAAGTTGAATGGTACAGGCAGAAATTGGTCACACGTAGACACACTCAGGCAGCCCTCACACGCCCGGAAAAGCACTGTACACGCTTTTCATCCTTTCGGGAATCGTCAGCAGTGCGCATTCCATCGGACCCTGGTAGGGCTTTGCCTGCACATAACTATAATACATATTCGGTTTTGCTTTTAAGTTTTGAGCCAGTTTGACTTCCTAGCAAGACTTCGCTTGTCGTTACATCTTGCTTGCTGTATTGCGACATTTCTTGAACTGCAACCGACGTGTAAATCCTCCTGATAGCTGAAACTTTTTCCAAGAAACTGCTCTTCTTTATCGCATGGCCAATTCTACAGTGTCACCACCTAGGTTTATTCGAGTGTTGCGTGAGGCGTAGCGGAGCAAACGGAACAAGCCCTTTCTTAACTAGGCTCTAGCTTTGTTCCCGTGTGGCTTTCTCCTATTCAGGAACTCAACTGAGCTTTCCTTGTAGAATGTTTCGCGAGCAACACATACGCAACTCTCCACTTATCACTTTCAGATTAAAGTACTACGGACTAGCCATGGCACCTTATATGGTATCCTCGCCTGCCTGTGGTCTATGGTTGGTTTGCTCTTGGAACCGGTACAAATGACAACTGAGTGCATCTTGCGGCCCTCAGATCTACTTGTTTGTGCCCAGCAACACGGAATTTCTCATCTGCCAGAGAGCAGTGCAGGATTTGGATTTGGATTTGGATCCGTAAGGGACGTGGATCTGATGTGCAGGTAAGTGGGCCTGCATGACTCCTTTGGTCAAGGCGATCCATCTTTTCTCAAACCATTTTTGTTAAACCTCCATATTTGTTGTTCCAAGCGTCAACATCCTGTGGGTATAGAGTTCAGATGATCCCAACGCAGAACATGTTGGCAAAACTCAACGGCACAACAATAGTCATTCAGGGCGAATGAGTTGAACCTGATCAATAAGTTTTATCTTGCTTATCAGATACCTAAAGTAAATGGGGATCACTTGAGGTAGTAACAATGTGTTGACAGACCGTAGATCAGTTCCATCTGTTATTTCAAAATAACAGAGTTCGCGCAACCTCGCCTTTAGTAGAGACTATGGTCAAGTGATTAAGCTACCGTTGTTGCTCAGGCCAAGTCCCTTCCCCAAGTACTTGTCGCTAATCACCTTGTGGCTGAGAGAACGTGATGTTCCTAACTTCAAATACTTCCATCTGAGTGTTTAACCATATGCTCGCAGTAGGTGGTTACCTCACGTATTTTGCAAGGGTTATGCCACTGTTTCTGTCTCCTGAAACTCAAGCTGCTTTGTTTAACTCTTTTAGGACTAAATGGCATTTGAAGGTGTACTCGTGTGCTCGAAAGACTGTGACGACACGATGTACACATGAAACTATAGCGCAGTTTCGAACACGAATGTGGCAATTTATTTTTGACACTTCGCGCTATACCCGGGCGGCCAATTATCTTTGTCGGGCCCACAACCTTGGAAGTAAGTTCAAACAGGTCTTACCAAGTGCCTCAGAGGGCCCCGCTGACGCCAGATGCAATAGTATTCTTATCGATAAATCAATACGTTAAGTGGAAGTGATGGGCCAGATGATTTGAGGCTTTCATTGTCTTGCCCTCCGTTATTTTGCCTTCCTTTAGCTCGTTACGCCTAATCCGAATGGGTGAGAACCACCGTTTGATTAATGTGGTTCCCTGGGTTGACTTCTTATCAGACTAGAGAAAAGTTCATTCTTGTATATTCCTAAACTGAGAATATGTCTTTCTAGTGACTTTTGTGTGGTTGGTGGGGCCAGGTTGGGTCACCTACGATGGTTGTTAAGTATATATCGTACGGACTGTAGAACACACCAACAAGCTTATCTTGCTTTCCGATTACAATAAACCGTTTGACAGTAACTTTACCGTGTGAATGCAAAGCATTTATTTAATACTTGGATTAGGATAAGTAAAATAGCTCGAATTTTTTCCACTAAATTCTGTCATACAAATCAGGGAAGTGAATTTCTGATTTTCTAAGGACAGTACGCTTCCTAAAAGACAGTGTTCATTCGGAAGAAATGTTAGGCTTAGTGTGTCGTTACCCATCATATTTCAACAATAGTCATTACTTCATAGTGTTTATTTGGCTGTAGGTACAAGTAATTTTCGTTTTCTTTAGGTATAGTCATTCCGGTCATCTTTAATTTGGAAATGGCGACCAATAAATTGACCCCAAACGTGCTTCGCAATCAATTGGCTTGACAACCCACCGGATAGCATCTTTGAAGTGTGGAGGGCTCAAGGACACCTCGTTATTGTGATCAACCCGATGCTACATAAAATATAGTTACATTTCTAATGGAATCTCAAGAGCAACAAAGTGTGGATGTATCACTGAAAGAATTAGATTTACTGTCTAAAGTTACGGTTCGCCACTGCTCGTAGCGTATTAATCTAACCTCGCTTCACCCGTCCTGCGACGAAAGGGTCTATTATGGCCAACGATGAATCCCATTGGGCTAGTGTTCTGTTTGTCCAGCGTTTGCAGGGCGCAATCAAAGGAAGACTTAAGCTTAGTTCAAAAGATGTTGTTGACAACGACACACAAATGGACAAGCATTGTGTATCCGCATAATCACTGCACCATCATTTCGTCCTATCAGATCTGGTCGGTCATGCACATTCCATCCGTGCAGTGATGGAACGACAACCAGCAATCAAACCCATACGTAGCACACGATATCCAGTCTTAAAGTGCATAAAACAATACAAACGATCTCCTTCATCACACATCCATTTAAGTGTTACTGGATAGAGGTTGCGTCTGACTCACACCACATGTCGAGCAGGGCGGCGTTGTCACAGCTGTCGATACAGAACCGAGCATGAGGTGACGGATGGAAGGATGGCGAAAACATGGTTGGCGGCATCCGATTTCGAATTTGCCTGTCACTGTGGCCAGCCACAGGACGACTGCGCCTACAGAGGGACCATGGGTGGCTTGCGCCGCACCACCCACAGCTCCAACCACATACCCCATATTCCGTGTAAACCCGAAGAAATAAGACCGGGAGGCATGTGGATGGGAGCCACGTTTCATCAACGGAGCCGGCCCAAAATCCTTCACAGGCAAACACAAGCACGCTGTATTTGGGAATCAATTGCACGCAAGGCGGTGGCTGGACCGTAGTCTGCTCCACACTGAGTGCATGGAACCGCTCTTTGAGCCTAGCACGACCACAAGGACCGTGCACCCCTTCCCCTCCGGCAACGACCAACTGTCTCCTGGAGCCAGTATGAACGATGTAGTGGGTAATAGACAGGTAGGCACCTTGTCAACATACACATCAAGCGCAGCCATACCAGGGATATCAAACAACAGCCAATCACTTTAAACAACAAGCTGAAATAAAATAAATCCAATAATGCATACAGCTACGGTGGCATAACTCTTCGCTAAATTACCATTTGAAGTAATTTGGTCAGCAACAAATCCGTGATAAGTAAGAAATGTCCACAAGTTACTTAAAATGCTACAAACGCAACAAAATTACCGAAGATAAGCGCAATTAGTGTAAGCAACGTGGCCAGTCAATGGAAGTCTATTCAGGTAGGCAGGAAAAAACCCAAATAAAGCGGAATGAAATTTATCCAGCTTAAAAAGACCTAGTTTAATCGTAAGTTGTTATAGCCCAACTGCGGTGAAGAAGCATCAAGAATGAAACATCAGCCTCAGCATGGGGCACTGGCGAAAACAGACACTAGAGATAATTGGTCTAACGATACTAAAGACAAAATTGGTAGGTAATGCGAATTGGAAACAACAATGGTATTCAAATCTATGCTCAAAGACATCTTACATATTGACTTTCTGCTGCGATAATCTGATGCGCTACGCTGACGTGGGATTTATGACTAGCTTTTGGCACCATAACTACAATAATGACAATCCTTTAGACAAATACTGGTACGTTAAAGTGGTGCGAAAATGCAAGTTCCCTGGAGAAGTGGGAAGAGTTTTTACTAATCTGGAGAATTGCTGGCAGTGCCAAGGTTCGAACACTCATGACGGAATAACGTCGAGGAAACTCTTTGACTTGCGATTTCCTTTGGTCAGCAGCAGCTTCTCTTGTAATATATAGGCAAAGCATCTAACCGGAGCCAAGAATACCTAACGCTTATAACACAGATATATAAAAAGTACAGTTGCTGTTTAAACAACTTATTAACATTGGTGCTTTCAATCTTCCATCGATTAAATGACCTAAGACAACAGCTGCCGCAAATATTCAAAATCGCACAGATTCAAAGAAACGGCTGGTAACAACATATCTCCGAACTTACTAACAGTGACAACGTTCTGGAACTGGATAAGTACATTAGTATTGGTATTGAACTGATGAGAACTTTCCTGGGAATGCTAATCGTTCGTTAGAATGCATGGTTGACGAGCAATATTCTCCGCATTATCGTATGTTCAGGTCCGTAAAATTCAGTCATTTGCACAACCTGATTGGTTCGATGATTTTGGGCAGTTTCTTTCATCTCCTCAGCAGTTAACAAACTTGTTTTATGCGACACTTAATCACCGCATGGATTCAGTAGTGCCACTAAACTATACCCATCAGATGAGCTATGAACACGGTTGCAGACTGCTAAAAACCATTGGTATGCGTCATCGGATTCCGCAAAATCCAGGTTTACCTCAAACTTTTACCTATTGTTCGGGCAGCCAAACATTATGAACTAGCTTAGGCGTCAAAATGAGGAACTCTGATTATCAAGAAGTAGGCAACTTTGAACGGCCATCCGGAAATTACTGAATTATCCCAATTATTCTTTACCCGATGTTCACACTAAGCCAACGGCTTCATTTCCATCCTCTTACTCTATTGAATGATGGAAAACAATGCAATAATGGTATATTATGGGCAAAATAAAGCAAGTGCCTAACAATCCCACATGACCTAGGATGGCCAGAGTGAGAAGCACCAATGGTGAAAAGAAAACAACGTGACAAAATGTAACTCGTTCTAGTGGACTTAGCAGTGTTTTCCCACAGAAGCATACATAAAAGAGTCAATCTTGGTTGTGTAGGTTAAACCTGATTGTGCAATCCTAGTGACACTATATCGTCTGTCAATGTAACAGGTTATATATCGTAATGTAGTTGGATCAGCGCCAGGTAATATTTGCAAAGTTCAGTGCATATTTTGGAACCGGGAATGAAAGAAGCCCTGGGCATCTCAATTCAATTCATACCAAACGCCGAGAAAATTATATGTACAGTATAATTCAACGCTGCTAACGTTCTTTTCCCCTTTCTATCGGTTCTGTTACCTGGCATCCGCAAGACATGATAGGAGTAATCTCTGTTGCTTAAAAAGCGGTGTATTCCACAGATTAAAGCCTGGATGCTGCATCTCTGTCTGCTGTGACATAAAAACTCTCTGCTCACAAAGTGATGAAGATGCTCAAGCAGTCATTACTCTCAATTAGAACGAGCAGTGAGCAAATTGATGATGGTACCAAGTGTGACAAAGTCATTTGCCATCGATAGGTGTAATAATCTATCGTACAATACCAGGTGCCACCTAACAGTTTAGTACTGCAAAGCACTTGTGTCGCGCAATGTGGCGCAGTACGCAATTTGAGTGGGTGATATTCATTAGCGCTTTAATTTGCTAAAGAATGCGTTTTTAAAAACAGAAACGGGTGAAATCAATTAGATGCACATCTCATCGTTTATCTTTCCGCATGCGACGCAAAATTCAATAACCCAGTATCATCTGAGTAACCTAAATCAAAGGTCAGCGGCGCTGCGCGAAGTGCATATGGGATGCCATGGAAGATTCAAACTCTTCTATTCCAGATTCCTTTTGATGCCAACTACAGTAAAAAGACAAAGACATCTACATTATAGTCCTGGTACGCCGTGCGCCATCTATTAACCAATCCAGGTCTGAAATGGACGGCCACACAGCGATTGATTTTAGACGTAAAATAGAGTGCAAATAATCTCACATCCCCATCGGGTCTGGTTGCAAGGTATCTTGTTTAGAAACCCAGATATGATTGATCAACAACTCAAAGACCATCTGCAGGGGCTCACAACCGGTGTTCCTCTTTACAACCAAGTGCCTTTGACCATTCGGTTCCGAACAGGTGGTATTCATTCTGTGCTGGATCTTGTGTGCATCAACGAGGAACATATGATTAATGGAAAATGACTTTTCGGTGACAGCAATCATGCAGTCATCAGTTGCAACTTCGTCTGATATGCGGAATATCGGAATGAGAACTAAAAGCCGGTGCGCACCATTAGACGCTACGATCGTTTAACCCAGCTGGTCAGTGCCACAACCTAGTCTTTCCTCTCCGAAACCCACAGGAAGTCATTTGGTTCGAATTTGTCAGCAAATTTAATCGGCTGATTATTGATACTAGAGACAGGAGCATAAGTAGTTTGTTTTGTAAGTAGCAAGCCACGAGCTTGGGTAGAAGTACCCAGGGCAGCATGGTGAGCATATTGACTATTTCCAGCGCCAGGTAAGTGAGACTACTACGTAGCCCAACGTAACCACTGTACTCAACTACTCAGCGATGACAATGACGCACATCAACAGAACATCGCAAATACTTCAGCGCCAACCACAAACTGCTGTACAGGTATATAAATGACCTTCGATAATTAAGGCAGGGATTTCTACTCACTTTGAAAGGGTGCGGGTCTAACAAGGACGGCCACAGAAGCAGCAACTGTGTCGCGAACGTAACATGTTTCCACATTTCAGAGGGTTTTGCCACCTAGTAGTCTCGCAGCTCTTGTTGTCGAGCCGCTTGGACTCAGCTAGAACTGCTTTGCCTCATAAGCTTTACTGCACAAGGTCATGGAATCCATTAATGCCCATGCGCTATCCGGAAAACTGCAACTTTATTTTTTCCCGGGCAACACGGCTTCCGTCTATAGCAACTGTGCGTGACGAAATTATTAAGCGCACAGCGTACTTGGGCAGGGTCAGCTGACGCTGTAGAGGATGTTGACGTGATCCTCAGATTCTCCTTTCCAAGATCCCGTTTCATTGGATTGGGGACACTTCGTTTAGCTGGACCGTTAGCTTTATCCTTCAACGACAATTAGTGGTCTGAACTAGGGTCGCCTTATCTGACCGCATACAAGTCGTGGGTGATGTGTCTGAATACTCAGTTCTCGGCGCCGATTGTTTATGGTATTTATTAATGAACTTGCAAAAACAATTACTGCAAGTTCCTTGCAGTTTGTCGACGAAATCATCATATGGCGGAGGGTTTAGTTGGAAGTCGATAAGTTGTTTTAGTGTGACCAAATGCAAGATACTCTCCATACGATACCATAGTACCTAATGCTAGAAGCTAGGAAAGCAAATCTGCAGTAGTCACCCGATGAACGCGACCTGGGCGTGCTGGTTCAGGATAAGTTAGGTTGTTCCCGGCAGTCGAATAATGGTACTCAAAATGTCGGCCTGCTGAGACAGACATTCGAACAAACAGATATTTCTACTCTCCAACTGATGTTCAATGCGTATGTTCGTCCCCATGTCTAATAGGCAATGCAAGCCTAGCAGCCATGGCTGAAGCACGACCTCACTACACTGGATCAGCCACAACTTCGGGCTTCAACATACGTCGATGGAATGCGCAGTCTACCATACGAGCAGAGGCTGAAACATTTGAGAATATTCAGCTGACGATATCCCCGATTACGAGGCGATCAAATAGTGGCATACATGAAGTTACAAAAACCAAATCATGTGTACCCTTATTTACTGCAACTCGGCAGTAACAACATGGAGAGGTCATCTACTAAAATGAGCAGAACAGTGCAGACGCCAGGTGTGCCACAGAAATATCTTTTCTGCTGGCGTGTGTCACCTGTATAACGCTCCTCCCATCGGTTGTTTTTGCACCTACACTAGGCACATTTATAGGTCGGTTAGATGACACACTCAGTCACTTACATGTTGTTACTTAACTCTAGCTCTCCATCGTAAAGCCGAAAAATACCTTACGCTTATTATTTATTGCTTATTGGATCCGTGTAACCACGTGGAGTGCAGAACTATTTAGTAAAAACGACAAGTCCACTATGTTAAAAGGTAAAAATGTTAATTGCATCTGTTCAGTACCGCTTTCCGATAACGCACCGAATCACACATGGGGGCTTGTAAAGCAGTATTACCTAGCTCGTATAACTCACTCTTCATTGTTACGCAGATAACTTTCAAGAATGATGCGCAGGGGAAACGGCGTCCAAGTTGTGATCCGGTCAGATAAATCTGCAATTATGGTAATCATATTGTATCCAGAACTACGCGGGGGTGCGGGCAGACGGCGTATTGCCAAACAATGAGCAATGGACAACACACAAACGCGTACAGATATGGACCGTGTTTCCTTCCCACGGCGCAACGCGGATGAGAATTTGGGTGACGACCATTCCATATGCCTATAAGTTTGTGCCTCGGAACAATCCCTCCAGTTTTCATCCGGTATCTCAGCTCCACTGAATCGGATCTTAACCAGCATTGAGTCGTTCGAAAGCGCACGATTTGCTATCCCGTGGCTGCATCACTCGGCCTGCGTTCAGTCTCGTGGGTTTCGCTAGCGACGTATTTGTCTGCGTCATTGCGTTCTCGACACGTACCTTCTCTGTTGTTCTGCGCCTAGGCTCGTTAACAGATGCCGCTGTGATCCGCTGTCGGCTCGATCCGCAAGGCTCACAGGGCCTTGTTTTGTCGCATCCATTGCGCCCGTTGGTATACTATGGTATACTATCCCGTTTTCGTTATCTTTCCGGTTCGTGAGTAGTCACTGGCTTCCGCCACCCTACAATAGGTCAGCATGTGTACATTCGTGATAGCAGTGTTGGAACGCCTTTGTACACTCGATACTAGTTAACCAATGAGGAACTAAAGATCGCGATTTTTATTTTCCTCGCAATTATTTTGAAAGAGTGTGCTCCGATTCACTAATCTAAGAGGTATTGCAAAGCACAACACACTGCCTTAATTTATGCTTGTTAATAGTTGACATCATTATCATATCTGGTACATCTGAGTTCCTTTTTAAAACTTTAGAAAAATGTATCCTTAATACGTGACAGAAATTGTGCATGAAAACGGCTACCCAGGCTAAATGAATGCTTGCATAATACAATTTGTGCTAGGGAATAACACTGGTGCTCTGATAGGCCAAAATTAGTAATGAATCCAAACAATATATTGTCAGGTACACATGCACACATACACAGAGTCCCTGCGAATACTATTTTATACTTAACTAGACGTTGGCACTAAGTGGTTGTAACGTCTTTTGATGTCTCCATCTGAAAAGTCTGCAAACTATTTATTCATTTATTTAAGGTTAATGAAGCTACCAGACTATTGGGTCCGCTCTAACCATGGTAGCCAAGTGCACCGCTGTATTGCATTATGAACCCTCTTCCAATGTCCTCCCGGTTTCAGCATGCAATTAACAGGGCTTCAATGAAAAACAGCTTCTATCATTGAACTGTAACCTAACCCAATTTATTTAGTAGCTATTTATGTTATTTACTAAGTTGCAGCGTTAAGTGTCCGTTATCTCCACAACAAGCTGCCAAGCGCCTTTATCGCTATTTTAGTTTTCAGGAAAAGTCAGCGTGCTTGCCTATTGAAGTACGAAAAATCAGTACAGAATTGCTCGGAACGATATTCAGCAGCCCTGTCTGAAACTATACTTCAACTGGCCGTGAAGGGTGCACCAAATGCCACAGATGAAGAGTCATATGCTGACCACATGATCCAGGAGCTCACGAAAACGTACTGCATGTGAGTGAAGATCTAGTTCGTTCGTCCGATTGTTCTCTATTTTGAGTTGGAATATCCTACGGCTTAGGAATTAACCAACCATTTTGTTGTGAAGGTACTACTAGCAACCTCGATACTTCCACATGTAGTTAACGTTAACCAATTCAGAAGGCACAATGAGCGGTAAGCTGTTAACTGTAAGTGCTCTGAAAATCCAGTGGTGTAGAATAAAATATCGGAATTCGTCGCTACATTATTAACGAAATTAAGAACTGGCGACGCACAAGCACCGAACCCTGAGGTACGCCACATTCCTTTCGAATCGGGTCAGACAATGCTGTTCGGACTCTAGCTTCCAATTGCAGTTCCGGGAGAAAGTTACTGATCTCTCCTAATACTGCATTTCCGACGCTGATGCTTGTGAAGCAGGATTACATTATCTATGCTATCGAAAGCTTTCGAAAAGTCCAAGTAGATTACATCGATTCCTGTCCCATCCTCGACCGATTCAGTCCAGTTACCCAGTGTTGTCAGTAGGTTCGTGGAACACGACCGATTTCGACAAACCCCTTGCTGCTCCGGCGCGATGGCCGTGACATTTCAGGTAACACATTTTGGCTTCTGGGATGATTGTTTCCTTGAGTTTGGCGAAAACAGGGGGAAATGGAACAGTGGCTTTATACTGATAAAAATGCTCTAGTTTAACAGGTCCCACAGGGTGATCATAGGGAAAATTCATAGTATAAAAATATTGTCAGCTAGTCAGAGTTTGCACTGGTAGACTCACCGCGGTATTTTTAAGTATAAGTATAAGTATAAGTATAAAAGTAAGTAAGTAAGTGTATTCGTTTACACTGACAAACGTATCCGTTTACACCGATTTTGTGAGGGCTGGAGAGCACGATATTTTTCTGCGCCCTGTTGGCACTAAGTGAACATAAATCAACTCATCTAATGCAGGTGTTGTAGTGCATCGTCAAGTCGTCTTTTAAATACAGCTAGCGTAGGATCAGTAATGCCAAAACTCGAAAGAACGTTCCAGGGTTGACAAATTCGACGAGGAAAATAGTTCCGACGGCATTCCAGCCGACTGTATTGCGTAGCCAGGTTCAACTGGTGACCCCTCCATTTTGTGTTGCAGCTTAGCTTCAGGAGGTGGTGACATGCGGAATTTGGGTTTTTCAAGAACTGAAACGTCAGAATGAGGTCGCACCGTACACGACGAAAATTTCCTCTGTACACTCCTAAAATTTTTAATAGCAGATGGTACGGCAGCTGGATCATTGGTTGCTCTTCGGTGTGCAACTAGCTCGCTTTTTAACCAGGGTAGTCAGACCTGAATCGCGTAATCCACATGGGGTCGCAAATACGTATTGAGCAGTTAGGCGAAGATGGACGGGTTGAACTACTCGAACGCTCTCCGTGAGAGACCAACGTGTTGGTTGGCGGTTTTTGACGCCTTCAAAGACAGTGCTGAACAGGCGATGTTGTCTTGCATCATCACTTCAGGATCACGAGCCTGCTAGGCAGTTTTCATTATGTGGTCCACAAGTTTATATGCGTAAGTGGGCTTGTAGCGTACATGTACAGTCTTGCATTCGTTTGCGCTAAACGGAAGTAGGTTTGCCTTTGAATTTTTAAAGGCACAGTCAAAGTCCCGTTGCAGCACATCGCGATCGTCCTGACAACTGATAACCCGCCATATCTTGAGGTCATCGGCAAAAAGCAGGAACTTCGACTCGATGTCATGCGCGAGGTCCTTGATAAAGACAGAGAATAGACGCGGCCCTAACACCGATCCCTGTGTTACACCACAGTCCATGTCGATAAGATCAGAAAATGAGCCTCTAACCCGAAGTTAAAGCAGCCGCTGAAACAGGAAATTTCCTATTCATCCAAGGACCGGGTCAACCATTCCGTACATTTGCAGCCTTTGGAAAAGGATTTGGTAAGCGAAGCGGTCGAACGCTCTAGAAGAGTCCAGGTAGATGATAGCAGTGCTGGTCCCAATGTCGGCTATTATGGTCCAACTGCCACGCGTAATCAGCAGATTGGTAGTACTTGATCGATGCTGACGGAATCCGTGTTGTTCCTGTGATATGATTTTAGCACTTTCAAGGTAGTCCATTAGAGCCTCAGTTATGATCCACTCCATCACCTTTGAGAGCATCGGGAGGAGAATCACTAGGTGGTAGCTGAGGGGCTCCGAACGGCTATTACCCTTGAAAATTGGATGATGCCCTACTTCCACATGTTGGGGACATGTTGTTCAACCAGGCATCTTCGACAAAATCGAGCTAATAGCTCTACTATCCTTGTATCTGCCACCTAAAGTGTTCTTTGGAGAATGTTGTCAACACCGAGGAACTATATGTACTCAACGATATCAGCCTTCTCAAAATCGTTACTGAACGAAAAGTGACGTGTGTGAATATTGGCATCTGGGGGAACCGGACTGGTATGTGACATTTGCTGCAGGCGCATCAAAATATTGAAGCATATTGCAGACGTAGAATGTTGGCTGCATCCTGGACAGTCTGAGCACATCCATTTGCTGAGGTAAGTGGGAGAACACAACGCTTCACATTCCGGACACTGTTTACATATCTGCACAGAAGCTAGTTGTTAGCACAAAACCTTTCTGCTCGGCTCTGTTAGTGTGATGTCCTCAAGTAGAAGTGTGGTAGAGTGACTACGATGCACTACATACCACACCAGTTTGCAGGGTTAAGTTACTCCCTATGCACAAGCTACGTTGCGCCTCTTAATGCCATGCGTTTCGGGTTCTGCTCCTAATAATCGATAGTGTACCTGTAGAACGAATGCGTCTGTTTACAGATGCGGATTTAATCATATCGCTGAACTTGCCAGCAAAATCAGTCCATGCAATCAGTCCAGCAATTGCCCGCAAACTCCCAAATGACATCACCAACAAGTTATCTAAGGTTGTCGTAATGTGTGATTGTTTGAAATAACTCACTTTGTGCTTGTGGATATTCTGCAAAAGGCACAATCGTGTAGTTTTGTTACCTGATCGCCCCAGACAGCTCTCTATCTTTGGTCTCTCGATCAAGAGCTCTTCGTTCGTGAACACTACATCAGGCACAGATTGCTTATTTCCCGTTCTGCATCTGGTGGGCGAACTGACATGGCTAAAGAGCGGAATGATTGCAATAACGTCTCGCAGGTCTACTTTGAATTGTTCGTTTGGCGAAGCCGGAACTACCAAATGGTTAACGAGCGTTAATTGGCAGGTCTCGATCGACTTCCTGCCTTGTGAATAGAGGTGAAACATACCGCTTTTCCGATTGGGAAAAACTATGTTTTTACCCAGCTTAGGCCGAAAGAATCTAGCTAGTGGTTCCGCTGGATGCATGGTTGCCGGCAAAAACTATAAAACCAACGCTCGCTAGACACAACCACGCTGCATTAACTCTCGTGTGAACCAATGTTCCCGAGTCCAATCTGGCACAATAAAAGACAAGTTGCAAGACGATCGCAATCAGTGGAGTTCCATCTGCGATGCGATTGCTATTCAGGTTGAATCTGCAATGCTGCAACGCGTAGCGCGTCACCGGACTTCAGTGCACTCTGGTGAACCTCGAATTCTTCGAGTAACACTAGACTCAGCAAATGAGACAGAGGCTGTCCTGCTCTCAGCAGTTCGTCCTCGCAACTCACTAAGCGGAGTGTGCATATTACCTGATCTACCTTGGAAAGATCGCCCAAAAGAATCAGTTGACCAACGCGCCATTCCTAATGGAGATAGCAAGAAAACGATATTTGTTCATGGTTTTCCCGAGCTTCTGCATTCTTCTGATCATGATGCACAAACACATGACCGAGAGCAGTGGTGCTACATCCGCGAAGCACCCTCTGTTGGCAATGTTATTGCCAAGTCCCTGACAAGAGTTTCGTCATCATCTAACTACAAGGGCTGCGGTTCAAGGCTAATGAAAGTAATACTACACTCCGAGGGAATGACTCAAGTTCTGTTGGATAGCTATTTAAAGTTTTCAGCTAGGTTGTCAACAAAGATTCGGCTAAAGGCAGCAGGAGAACGGCCAAAAATCGGAACAATTCAGTGAAACTAGCAAACGCTACAAATTATTTACCTGCACAGTCCTGCGGAGAGACCGACACTACAGTGCCCACGGCATACAACAAGACAGAGCACAGCACGAGTGAAACGACTGTTCAGGAACACTCAATAATGCCATGCAACATGACTGAAATGCATGAACCAAAAGAACGATTGATGGCTAGTCACCTCACAGACGGGGCTTAAAAACTAACACAAAGTTGACATCCATCAATGAACTCCTAACAACAGAAGCCTTATCTTGCATGCACACAAACGCCCAAGCCTTCTAATTAAGTTGGCCGAACTTAAAGAACTCCAAGACTCACAACCGCGGGACCTCGTCATGATCACAGAAACCTGGTTAAAGCTTGAGATAACCGATTCTGAGATCAATTTACCTGGTATGTTGCTGCTTCGGACCGATAGCAACGGAAGGAGTGGCGGTGGGATTCTTTATTATAATACAAACCTCCGATGTGAAGTTATCGATCACCCGGAAATCCGAGCTCCTGATTTGCTTTGGTGCCGCCTATGGTTGCGAAACAAGGACACATGTCTACTAGCCGTGATTTATCGCCCACCAAACTCAACGTCGGAAGTGTACTCCAGACTGAACCTCGTTTTTCCGTTTGCTTTGAACAAGTCCTACACCCACATTCTTATCGCTGGAGACTCTAACGTGCACGACATAGGAACGCCAGCAACCGACGATACGCAGTTTAAAGCCTGCTTGCAAGGGCTAATTGTTAGCCACCCCCTGTACAACTACGCAGCCTATCCTACCAGATTTCGATCTGCTAACAAGCCGTCGATACTGGATCTTGTGCTCACTAACGGAGAACTCATGGTTGACAGGATAGTTACAAGCACACCACTTGGTCGTAGTGATCATGGTACTCTACTCTTTGACTATATATGCTGTGCGGAGTACCCTGAA